AATAAGAAAAAAAAAACAACAAAACTATTAGCATGTTATCACTATATTGAAAACCTTTACTGATTCAAACCCTCTGATGTATGCATCAGCATTACTTGCATTAACATTTTCAGTAGAGTTTAAAAACAGAACTATTCACATGCAATTTCAGGACCTGAATTCAAGAGTACACCTGAAAATAATGGGAACTGCAAAGATTCTTTGAAGCAAGCCAATGAATGTCTGGTTTACAATAAGGACATTTAACTCTTCATGAACATTAACCTGTATTTTTATTTGCACTGTAAAAACCTAAAGGGAAATGGATTCTGTAAACTAATTGATTCTTTTTTCACTTTATTAACAGTTTTGTCTAGAAAACAGACAGATACTCTACCTTACAAGCAAAAGTGAGACTCATAAATAAAATTAAGTAAACCTATTAATCATCAAAATTCCTTTCACATTTTCAAGTCATTATCTTACATACCATGAATTCCTGCTCTACACTGAAACTTTGACACTTACAGTTAAATCTTAAATTGTCGCTGTGAATGTAGCATATTATCAGACTGTATGAACCTTGATAATGCACTTCTCTTTCTTGCTTTTTAGTCCTCCATGTGTCAGCTGGAGTGTAATTTATCTACTGATTTCTTTGTAGGAGTCAAGTAACTGAATCACAGAAATCCTGAGCTCTTCTTCAAACTCTGCCCCTTATTTCCTGTGTGACTTCAGACATGTTCCTTAATCTTTCTTGACTCCATTTCCCCTTGTAAAAATGTCAGCTGTAAACCATTCCCTTATTTTTCCTTCTTTCACAGAGATGACTGCCGTTCTCCCACCTTTACATATTCGCTACTGAAATACAGGCTGAGTTAGAATGCTGCACTGCATTTTAAATGCAGATAACAGATATGTTCATGCAGAAATACCTGAGCTAGCATTAACGTAGATATCTCAGATGTGGCAAGCAATTACAACTAATTACAACTGCATGGGAACAAATCTCCTAAGAAAGAGCATGTGAGCCAAAATCTACAGTGCTGCAGATTCACTGCCAGAGGTATTTATCTATATTTAACAAAGAATCAAACTGATTAGGCCACTTAAAAATAAATACCAAATATACAAAAATCTGAAAAACTGGAGTATAATCAAATATTTCTAAGAAGATTTCAAGAAAGACAAGAGAGACCTAGCAGAACTATGTAAATGAATGTGAAACAGAACAATGAAAAGTTCTGCTTAAATATTCTATGTATGATTAATAGCATAGAAATTAATATTAAAAGGATGTTTTGTCCATTCCACGAATGGTGAATATTCATCTCTAGTTACCCCCACATTGGAATATAAAGCAGAAGCTCATGGAAAGAAAAAAATTAACACGCACATCTTGACCAAAGACTAGGAATATATTGTTCTGAGAAAAGACAAATGATAAGGAAACAAAATCCACAGTATTTAAAGAGTAAAATTGAATACTTCCATGCTCTTTCTTATAATTATAAAAAAGTACGTATACTAAAGATGTATAGTAAGAGAAAAATGTATAAAAAGCTAATAAGAACAAAACAATTTTAATAGCCTTCAAAGGAACTCACTGTTGAAAGATATCATTCAGGCCAGTAACACTAAGAAAATTACGTCTCATGACAACTTAGGTTCCTTTTTACTACTATCTTTTCGAAAATCACAATTTAAAGCATATGCTGACTATTAACTGTTAGAGTCAGGAGGTAAAGTAGTTCTGGAAGTAGCTGCCATAGGATTTTTGCATTAGGCATTGTCAGAAACAGAAGGCTATGACTAAAAAACTAGGAAACTCGTTTACCATGGTAATGTCTTTAAACTTGATATACAAGTACAAATGTAATAAAAATGTTCTTGAGAAAATTATTGTGCAATTCACATTAAGACAGTGCCATTCTAACAGCAAAATTAGAGAAGAAGGCTGTACATATGAGCAGAATTTCCTTGTAAGGAAAGCTCCAAGGGCAGGGGATAAATTAACTCAGAAGTAACTTCTGGTTCTGCAGATTTTACTAATTAACAAGATCTTTGCATATTGAATTTTCACAGTCAATCTGCTAGCATTTCTTTTCTTTTTTTTTTTCTTTTTTTCTTTTTTGCCTGCATCTGACACCACAGCTAATCATCAGAACAAAACTTCAATCTACATCTGACAGTCACGTAGGCTGGCAGGCAATGCACAACATATTCTTAAAAAAAATGACCCCCTTTCCCTGTTGTTTCATTTTAGTGGTTTACCCTAGCCTGAGAAAGTAGAAAGAGGCATCTTACCAGCAAACAGAAAGTTGAATCTTGTATTTACTCTTGTTGTGAACTTAACCTTCTCACATTTTCCTTAACTATAAAAACGACTCGTTTTCCTTAGTCATCTTATCTGGCACAAAAACGTATCAAACACATCAGACGGTTTATTGAATAGTGCTGAAAATGATCTTTGCAAACTTTAAAATGAGTGGAAACCCAAAGCAATTAATTATAACTGCATTTTTTCATGACAAATGAAATTAAATAGTAAATATTCCAAGTACTAACAAGAACTAAGGTAGCTTTCAAATTGTCATTTCCATGGAAAATCTGAATGAAAACCCAGTATAAATTCTAATTAAAACCTAACCGAGCTAAACTCTGTATCTTACCTAGTTTCCAATTAAATGTGACAAATTGAACACTTGACAGATTTCAATTCCAATTCTATTTCTGTCAGACTGATCCATTAATATTGAAGATTACATTATCAGAATTTGAACAATACAATTGTGCTTAAAATAGTTAAAATACAAGTGGACTTAAAAAAAACTTACTCAAATGTCAGATGTTACATATATGGAGGAACAAAAGTACATTCTATCCTGTTCTGTCATTATTTATAGACTAATGTTAACAAAAAAATTCTGGAGGCGGATGACATCCAACTGTTGAAATCTTGTTTTTTAAAATGTGACAGAAAACTCCAAAAGTCTGTGGATTATAATTTTCATCACAGTGTCACCCACCTTTCAAAGGTCTCAGTTCAAGGTTATATAAAGGAGAAGGAATCCTTAATTATTGTATGCAGTTCCTGCCATACAATATTTTTTTCAAGATACTTTTGATTCCAGTCAGTTATTCATGTAATAACACATTTGTCTATACGTTTCTAACTACTCTATCTGTACAATACTATTTTTAAAACTGAATCAAACAAGTTTATCCTACCAAACATAAGTTATCATCTTTGAAAAAATCAAAGTAATGTTTAAAAATACTTCTATTACTAGAATGCATTGCCAGTTTCAACATCAACTAAAAAAACTTAAATAAACTGGTTTGCTTTCATTTTTCACACCACTCAAGCACTTTTCATTTTCAGTTATGTTTCAGTAAGGTGGTTATTTTCATTGGCTACAGAATATACTCAAAATTATGTTCAATTGTTGCTCTCCAGTTTTTCCTATATGGTTAAGACATACTCCATGTTAACACGCTTTCTGAACTCAGAATTTCATGTCCAGCAACCAACTATACTGCTATATGTCTAGGGAAATGAACAAATTGTTTAGTTTGATTTTCTTAACCAAAGTCTATCGCAAAACAGACAATGAAGTAATCATCCTATTTTAGGGTTAATGTCTGGAAATCTTTTTTTCTGCAATTTTTCTTGTAGTACCAGTATCATTTTTTCCCCTATCACTCACACAGAAAAAGTAAACATGAAGAGACATATTCATACAAACAAACAAGTAGAATACATATACACACACACTTATACATAACCTAAAATATCTTATTTTTAGATGGATAATACCATCTTCTTTTTGAATTAATTGATCAATTATTGGGGGAATATACATTATAAGCAATTGTAGAGTGCTACAGACATTCTTCAGTCAATTATACTAGATTTGGCAATATCTTACCATGGAAAACAATTTACTTTTATTTGGTAAACGTGTCTATCTCAGGAAAGACAGAAAATGAAGAACAATTAACCAGTGCTGTAATCTCTGAAAAACTAAAACATATGCTTATCCAAACTCATTCAGTCAGTCTATACCAGAAAATACACCACCCCTCGAGTATACCCAACAATTCCAATTGGATTAGCAAACCCATTATTTCATTGGTTATCAAAAATTTGTACACTTTGACATACAGTAATTTATTTTATTGTTTATGGACAAATCAAAACACAATGAAGTCAGTGCCTGACTTCATAAAACTTTAGATGAAGGCCAGTAAGTGGAGTGCAGTAAATCATTCAGGGTTTATGAAATATATTTCAAATTGAAAAGATTTTTTTTTAAATCTAAATAGTTTTAGACAGAAAATAAGAAATTTAAATGACTTTTATTTTGCAATTGATGAAAAATTACTAGAGCATAAATAAGAAATGAAATTTTTCCCCTTCTACATAAATAGATGCTGAATTTGAATAAGATATTCTAAAAATATTGTCCAAAATAAAGTGAACAAAAGGAAAGTAACATCCTTCTTTTCTAAATAACGAAGAATGGACTTGACACTCAGTGTTATTTTGAATACAGACTATATAGCATTTTGGGGGAAAAAAGAATTCTCTAGAGTGGGGTTTTTATATCCTGCTTTCTTTCTGTGATGCTGTACATATTACATTCTGGGAAATTTCCTAAGTAGCTGTTGAATCAAAAATGGAAGGAAAAGAAGATATATGGTATTTTATCTAAAATGAAAAATATGGAAATTAATTCAATTACCATCTCCCCAGGCCTCTACTGGTATTTTGTCAATGTTTTAACTGCTTCTGCAGTATAGTTTTAAAAACATGTAAAGAGAAAAAAGTGCTGGGTTTATTAGTAGTGTTATGTTTCATTAATTTATGTATCTGGATTTTAACAAAGTTTAAAATAAAAAACTTACAATTAAACTATTTAATTAATTTATTTATTTTTTTGGACTGACCTTTCAAAAGTCTACTTAGTATCACTTGCTAGTGAGATTATGTGTGTGAATGTTGTGTTTGCCCCTACCATTTTCCATATGCTCTGCCTCACCAACACTGCCATCCGGCGTAGTCCTTTCGTAGTTGTCCTCTGGGAGTGGAAGGGCACCCAGTCTTGGCCCTGATGAACTCTTACTGCTTGGTGTTTCTGACTCCTCCAGACCGCTGTCATAGCAACTCTGCAATGACCCTTGATGTGGGTCCTGAGGCTGACTCACAACAGAAAACGTCACTCTACGAAATGGCTGCAAGAGAAAAGATTCTGAATGTCACTGAAAAGTTCAGTCTATGAACAACTGATTCTCAAAACATGACTTAAGCAAACTAGTATTTCAACATTTACTCATTAAACAATTTTTTCTAATTTAAATCAAACAGTAAGTACAGTCCTTAAAAGGCCACTGGATAGAGTATCTGGGGACTTTTAGTGTCATAGCCAGTCTAGAACCATCATGCAGTTTTGTATAGACTCCTTTCAAGCAGCTGCATAAGCTAAGCAAACTATTTTATGATTATTTATAAATTCTGTTCAGTTTCCCTTACTCAATAGTAATAATTTGAATGGAGTTTATATCAGACTGCATAAAAGTACTTGACAGTGTGTGCATGTATATGTATAAGAGGGTATGGGTGGGTATAAATTCTCACAGGTAAACTATATTATGTGAATTGGCAACATAGCAACACATCCATAAGGCTTCTTTAAAATAATTTCTTGTGGTTTTAGAAGCTAGTTGACACCAAAAAGTTAAAAAGTGGAGAGGGGAGAAGGGGAGGGTAAGGGGAGAAGAAGGGGAAAATTGGAAGGGGGGAAGGGAAAAAGAAGTTTGAGTTCAGACTCTTAGCTTCTTCGCCATAAAATTCAGTGCCTGGAGATAGGGTGTGTTGCCAGCTAACTTAATGAAGTCTTTAAAGTACTGCAAGCACAGCTGACACCACATGTTTCCACTGAGACTGTACAAACATAGATTGTTATAGATTTGTATTCATTCAAAATGACAGATATTACTGTTGCTCTAGAAGTCTACATGCTGAACTTTGGCATTTGTGAATATTCCAGGAAGTGGGAGAGTCAATCCTTCCCATTTCTGAGGACACTAAATGCAGGCAGGATATTCAGTAAAAAAACTAGTGGATTCTCCTAGGATTTAAACTGCACTTCAGCAGTAATGATACATTTGAAATAATTTACTGTTAACAAGGCTAGAAAACCACAGAAAAGCATCTGATATTCTAATAAAGAACCTAATTTCACCACATAGATTTGTATGCCCAAATACTGTGTATATATTATATACATATTATGTATTATATGTTATATATGTATGTAAACACAGACAAATGTGTTTACACACATACATAATATGTGCATGCAGGTATATACATATTCTAGAAAGCACCTTCTAAAACAAACACTGACTGATCCTTTTTATAAGACACTCTGCAGACTTCCCTATGTTTAGAATATGAGATCTGAGGGTGCTGCCTGTCTTCATATTCAGATGTGTTTCCAGCAGTATGTTAGAATGAGACACCCTTACTGGCACCTCTCATCACACTATAGGGTGGAAATGTGTATGCACAACAGAAGGGAGGAAACAGCAACTACAGCCACTTATACAAGTCTGGATGAACAGGAGTCCACATTACATTTAGAAGTAGAGGGCTGGAGTTTCAACTGGAATTAGTATTTTTACAGTTGTTTTTAAGATATAATGTAATATTCAATGCTGATGATAAAGTGGCAGGAGTACAAATATAACACTGAGCCTTCTTGGCACAAGTAGATCAGAACTTTACAAATGTGAGTGTTGCTATAAATATGAGAAAATTCTAAGCTACAAGTCATGATATTCTTCTGGTGAGTCTTTGACCTTTTAAAGTTTCCTATTCTTCAGCTGAAAAGTGCTTTTATAGCAATTTAATTTAAGGCTTCATAATATATCAAATGTGAGGAGAATAGAGGAGCAAAACAAAAGAATTGAGAGCACAAATAACGCAGATTAAAAGAGCACATTAAAAATAGACTTGCTGTTCCTTTCACTGAAGTATGAGGAAACAGTATAAATCATAGAGTAGGATTACAACTGCTAGGTTAAGACCCTAGATCTACAATATACAACTTTAATATTTTTCCCCATAGATTCTCAGTAAGATCTTTCTCTTCCCCAAGTACTCAGAAGGAAGCTGTTTGTTGAGCTGCACAAGTATTCTAAAACCTTTCCAACTAACTTTAAATCATAATGGAAGGACAAAGACCTTTAAAATAACATGTCCCACAAAGTGTCTGTGTCATTTGCATTAAACTTTAATATTTTAATAGGTTATGTACTGTATTACTGACAATTTGCACACATTAAATTACCTCAGAGAAATAATAAATCAATGTGAAGATCAAGTATATTTACCTAAGCTATACTTTTAGAGGTGAACAACTGATTTTCTTCCATCATTTCTTTCATTGTTGTTTTTGCTTATGTTAACAATCAGTTCTCTTCTTGTGCTCTCCACAGGTTGACTTCTAAGTATATAAAAAGATGCCAGACAAAGACAGTATTTCATATCTTGCAAGCTGGCTCTGCTGTTTCTTTCCAATCTGACTATTCCCAGATCAGCCCAGTAATTTGAACAAAGCTGTAGCTCTGTGACTGCATGCAGAGCTGCAGTCCCTCCTGCTTGTTTCCCAGTCTGCTTGCATTTGTATACATATGGCATGCTGGAGGTGCCCCTGCATTTACCCTGCTTCATCATTGCAAAAGTGTCTCTTGTAGCTGCCACGTTGCACCCAGTGGTGCCCACCCCTGCCCACCGCTTCCTTACTTTACTGTGGTTTTGATTTCCCTCCACAGCCATTTCTAGTTTAAAGATCTAGAAGTGAAATCCCTTTCTTGCAAGACCAGCTGTTGGTCCTCAGGATCTATCTTCCCAAGCCTTTCAGTGTCAAAACAACACCTGGTCCCACATGCTGTTCACCCTCTCCCATCAGAGACATGCAGTCACCCCTTGATACAGTCAACAACTATCACCAGTGCCCAGGTGGATGAGGAGCAAAAGTTGATAGTCTGAAGGTGAATAAGCCTCAGGAGTCTCTCCAACCCATCCTGCATCTGAGCACCTATCAAACTGCAAATCTCCCTAAACATCAGGCTAGGTCAGCAAATGGGGACTCCATGCCCTTGGAGAAGAGGGTCTCTGATGCTTCCTCAGGCAGAGTTTTTACCCCTGTACAGATGAAAGAGCTGTCTGCCCTGTGTTGCAAGAAATCAAAAGCCTACAGTCTCCCCCTTCTTGGCAGGCTCCCCAGTGAGCACACTCTCTGGCTGTTACATACTCTGTGCAATCAGGGGATTAGGCTCTATGGGTGGTATATGGGTATATATACATAGTATGCTAAATAGTATTTAGTGGCAATACATATATATGCTTGGAGTGGAATAAACCTGCTTTCAGTTAAAGCATCTAGGCATGTAAGGAATATCTGTATGTTAGTTCTCAACAGGAAACTGCATTTTGCTTTAAAACAAGATCTAGCTTAAATCACACAGCTTATCTTTGAAATGACAAGCTTTTGTGGAATCACACATACAGGCAAGAGTGATTTGTATATTATCTCCCATATTAAATATTAAAGAATATTAGTAAACATACTTAATATGTATTGGTAAGCACATATGTAGCATATACATTTCAGGAAAAAAAAAAAAAAAAGAACAGATTTAGCAATAACAGGTGCAAGACCAGCAACTTTTAAAGTGTTTAGCAAAGTTCCATGTTCAGAATTAGTTTTTTACTGACAATTTATGATAGCTAATGTATATATTAAAATGGATCCAAAACTTCCACTTGACTACAGCTAAAGATATACATTTTCACTGATCATACTGACACTACAAAAATAACTTTACAAATCCTTGTTTTGGTCAGTACTTAGGCTGTGAACTGTTTGACAGACCAAAACATCATGTAATGAGACACTGTATGCTGTAGCTATATACATGTATGCATCAATTACTACTAAATTCTGGACCAACAATATAAACTTTGAGAACCTCACACAATTTGGATTTACTTAGATCTTCTCCCAGAGGTTATTCTTGAATATCACAGTATAACTCAAGTAAGGAATTAACTGCTAGGGATACTGTGACAAGTTTAGAAAACTTGCAAATTAAGGAGGCAATGCTGATAATTTCACACAGATTACTGCTTTGTTTGCTTGTTACCAAATTCCTTGAGAAGGCATAAGAAGGTACATTTGAAAGGCCCTATAGACCTATATGTATATAGCCATATCATGAACTGGTAACTCTTAAACTCCCAGTGAACCACAGGCCACAGTTTAGGAACCACTGTTTAAAAGATGCTAAATACCTTTGGATACAGATTACCTCTGAAGTAGTAAAAGTAGCACTGCAACTCAGAGCTAAGCTCAACAGAACCTACCCTTAAAATATGAAGGTCCTACCCCTTATTCAGGTTTCTCCTAGGAAAATCACACCTGCACTGTATGTAACTGTAGATAACTGGAGAGTATGACGCTTAGAGACACTGGAGACCTCAAAGAATTCAAGGGTGAGATGCAAAGCCTGTCATAAACAGTTACCGCATACCTGTTGTCCTACTTAAAAAGTATTCAAAAGACTAGTTTGGGATAACCTCTTTGAAATTTCACGTTGGAGACAAATATTACCACTCTCTCTTTAGGGTTTTGCTTAAGGTTTTTATGGTTTCATTTAGTAAATGTTCCGCCTCCTTTTTCAGATATAATCTTGTAGCCAAGACACACTGCACCATAAACACTCTATACCATCTGCAGTTACTACAAGAACCAGAGGGATGCAACTTAACACTGGAATTAAAAGAATTTGACTGTCCTTTTTCCTTTCCCGTATTCTTTAAAGAATATATGTTGTTCCTGGGTGGCATATAGAGAAGAATATACAGAATAGTTGCAAAACCAGATTGTTTTATAAATAAGACTGAAAATCCCTAAGAATATAATAAATTATTCTCTAAACTAAGAGAAATTTCACATGCTTTTACTTAGTTATTAATAATGTGCTTTAAAACAGATCCAGATGTTCATCTTGCTTTTTTTTTCTCAAGTGCTGAACTGAGTAGGAATTATCTGACACAAAACTAACACAAGTAACATTCAGTTCAGTTCACCCATATAGCCCATTCCACAGAATATTAATGAGTATGATATAATGCTGGTGAAATATTTTCCCAATGAATGATGTAC